GTAGTATCTTCTAAAACTTCAAGGATCTGTGACTGATTTTGGGGATGTATTACCTCACATGTAGTAAACAGGTTATTTTTTCATTCAGGTGTGGTTCACAGCATCTGCCAACCAGTAGTGAGAGATTAAACCAAACAAAACTTGGCAGAGAGCTAGTGTCAGAACCCCAGCTATGTGGTTGCCTTCTCTGTGCCAACGATGGCAGGGACAGAAGTAGTATTCTGGCTTACTTCACACACACGAATTTGTGCGTTTTGCATACAAATGCTGAAGGTTTGTTGGTAACACAGTGCATCATTTTTCACTTACTGAAATATACACCCAACTGCCAGTTAAAGATTCTGGCTAGTGCTGTCAAACAAGCAATTTCATTTCAAAGTAATGGTACAATTAAAACTAGTGCTAAAGGGCATTTGGAACACAATGGGACCACTTCTCCGATTGTAACAGGGATTTAAAGAAGTAAATGAATGGAGAATTTTGTTCATCTGCAGTTATCACTACAGTACGGATCAAGTAAATTACGCATTGGGGGTACATTGTGAGGCTATGCCTGCACAGTGAGAGTGTAGTTCTACCCTCGCGTTTAACTGACACACATAAGTGTGCTCTGCCATGCTTTTTGCTACATCCCTTACAGTGACACCAGTAGTCATGGAGCCAGTAAAATGAATACTCCATAATAACAGTTTTATCTTGTATTACCCTCCTAATATTTCTCTTCTGTTTCTATTCTCCTTCTTCAGTTTTACACAACTTAATTCCAAAGTCTGGCAACATATACTCCTACTCACCAGCTGTTCCCCAGTGTTTACCTTGCCCATACTTCATCACAGGGCAGATTTCTCTGCTGTCAATGACCATCACCCTCTCTCTTGCCACACCATAGGATGCCTCACACCACCAGGCCAACGTCCTGTCTTACCTCAAGCTACTTCACACCACCAGCCAGGTTTATGGAATTGAAGACAAGCTTCCATGCCATACCAAGAAGGAGGAGTAATGGTTTAAGTGGCTGACAGAATTATCTCCACAGCCAAAACACTTTAATTTCATTCCTGATAGAAAGACCAGACCTGACATAAAACTCAAGAGTACTGGGACATCAGGTGAAGCACAGTCACAACTGAGACAAGCATTAACATCTGCCTAGCACTAAGGGGGTCTGTTTTCACAAAAAAAATGTGTCCAGAAGCAGTGTGATTGGGGCTGCCCTGGCAGGGAAGAAAAGCCATGAGAAAGCATGCCCCTACACCAGCAGGGCAGTGCCAGCCCAGAACGAAGTTTTCCTGCTTTTATAGTTCTTTAGTTCTGGCTTGTCCAGTTACAAAACCTAGCACCAGCATTTGAAAGTTTCATACAGTTTGCTTCAAGTCCAAAAATTACTGCTCACACTATGGAAAAATATTCAGTTATACAGCAAGAAGTATTTGTTACTACCATTCCTAGTTTTAGTAGTGTCTTCCGTTCGCGTCACGGAATTAAAAGAATCATACTCAGATTTGTTCATTATATTCTTAAGTCTAAGCCATTTAATGGCAGTTTCTCCTATAATAGTTTAGCAAATTTCAATCATTCTCACATGATTTCTTCCTATTTTTTGTAATTAAACAATTTGCTAAAATACTCAATTTTTGCTTTTTATGCATAGTGCAAAGGTAGGAGATTTAATTAAAATTTTCTGGGATTTCAGAAACTGCACAGCTTTTGTTTTTGTCACATCAAATACGCATTTATTGCTTAGCTACTTTAAAAAAAAAATACATCTTCACAAGCTACCAGCTCTTCTATATATCTCCTTGCATTTCTTTGATCACGCTCCTCCAACCATTCAGTAATCCATCGGTAATTAGAACTTCTTAGCTTCCGTAGCCTAAAAGGGACCAATTTATCACAGACTGTCATGAATCCTGGTTTTAAATTATCAAGAGTCCAATTACCAACAGGAATGGGGATACCTCTTTCCAATTAAAGTGACTGATTTCATGTAAAACCTTGTAACATTTCACTTTTTAATTAGGTACATCCTTATCAAATACAAAGTGGTTCACTCTCATTTTCTATCCAGAGAATGAAATACAGAAAACATTAATCATACACCAATATAGTGCCACACCTAATAATGCTTTCAGCGTACTTTGACAACTTCTAATCCATCAGTGTATGATGTCTTTTATTCCTGTTTCATTCCAAACATTTACTTCAAAACAAAGAATAGGGTTCAACTTTTTACATCCAAACATCCCTGGATACATCCAAGAACATCAAGCCAGTTTACAAGTTGAAAAGAAAAACAGAATTAAACAGAAACAGGAAAAAAAAAAAAAAAAAATTAAAACATAGAGCATCAGCTGACACAAGGGTCAGGACTGTCCACACGAATCATTTCTCTGCTACAATTACTAGCTAAATCAGGATGTGGCAACCCAGACTCTTAAGTAGTTCTTATATAATTCTTCTGTATGAGGCTTAGAGATGGTACCACAGCTGCCATGGAAAGCCCTTATCGCTGACAACTGACAGGAATCCCCTCAGACAGGGTACCTTCCTGATCTACAGTTCTTCTCACCTGGGCTAAAGCGCTGCTCGCCACACAGCACAGGAACAGGGGGTGCACAATCTCCCTGGCAGCCGCTTTCTCTCTGAGGTCAGGCCTGGGACAGACAGCGGCAGGGACTTTCATACTACAAACTAAAGAGAACACTAACAACTGCTTTTGTGAAATCAAGCACATAAGCTGCAAGATGTAATTGAGACAGCTCACTAGAAGAGGAATTGAAAGTACTGTTCATTGAAAGGAGTTCATCTTACAGTTGCCTCTCTACATGCATAGTACTTCACTTCTATTTTTCAACTCCTTTGAATACCTCAGGAGTATTCATATCACACCAAGAAAGCCCTGCTTCCAAATACTGCAATTACTGACCCAGCTTGGAAGCACTGATATACGGGAAACAGACCAGGACTCTCAGAAGCCCCATGCTGAAATTCCTCCTACTAATCTGCTGTGAGGGGAAGGGGGATTTCTGTCCACCATGGCTCAATACCCTGAGTACATCTTCCAGGGATGCAGCCTGGAAGGGTAGAACTGTTGCACGGATAAGTGCAAAACAAATTGCAAGTCACTAACTCATTCAGCACATGCTCCAGTCTTCCCAGCATTCCTGCATCCCCCTCACATGATATTCAGTCAATCACTGCCTGCCGATGTAGTCTTCACTCTGCATTTTGCTTACACAATTTTTGCCTTACTGGCTTAAAAAAGTCTTTAATTGACAAGATGTTAGGCATAGTTCAGAAGCAGCAGAAAGGTTCCCTGCTGGGTTCGTGAATGAGCTGCATAAAACAGTGCAAGTTTTTTTTGTAGTCATACACAGAAGCATGCCTGCGAAGGGGAATGCAAGGCTGTTACAGAAAGGTTTACTAACTTTTGGAAAGAGGGATAAGCCACAGCTACTGTTGAAAGTAAGTATAAAAAATTTGGAGGAATTATAATTTTAGTAAGTTCAATAGCTTAATACAGAACCTATATTAGATCTTCATGATTGGCAGGGCAAAACGGGTTCTCAAAGCCTTCTCATAGTAATACTCTTATTTCCATGCCAGTTGTAGGAAAGACTACTTTCAGAAAGAAATCAAACAAATGATAAAAGCTTGCTTTTCAGGGAAAAGGATGATATTGGAATCTAAAATTCTACACACATTATGCATGACTTCTCCTTCTGAAAGTGACAAAAACAAAAGCTTCAGACACACTGGTATTTCACAGCATGCTGTGATTAAGTTTTATTTTATTCACATGATTTGTTTAATTACTTTGAGTTACATTAAGTTGACAGAACTCTCAAAAGAGTCATCATAAAATTATGACTTTGACAGGAATGTAACTCAACCCTAGAGCAAATCCACCGACTTGCTGTGAGGTTCCATCACGAAAGGGGCAGTCCATCATTATTAAATTTCTGTAACACCAGTGGTAACAAAGTAGAAAAATGCCAGTCCTGTATCAAAGAGTTCAGTCTGAAACCAGCTGCAGTAACGCCTAATGCTATCATACTAGCAGATAGTTTCTACATAAGTTAAAATAGCAGGCTAATGTCACTATATGGTCATTGGCAGTACATTCACAAGTTGAGAAGGAAAAGTAACTCACAGGTACTATAACAGAAGACCTTCGTATAACCACAGTTCCTTCTCTAGCCCAAAGTATCAAAGCCTGGAATAAGCCAGAAGGATCAAGTGAGAAAGTTAAACCAAAGTGTGATGTAGTGTCAGGAAAAGGCAGAAAAGTCAAGACTTGTATTTACTGCAGCTGGGCAAAGCCCCACATACAAAAGGCTACCAGACTGAAGCAACGAAAAGACAGAGAAAATACTGGAACAATTAGACAGGGAAGACTTAAGAAGCCCCAGACAAGAAAGTCTGTTGCCCATCACAGATCCACTGAGTGGAATACAGCAATGCAGTTGGCACAAGGTTAAAAAATTAAAACCAAGTTTTTGGCAGAGCAAATATGCACACTCCAAAATAAGAATACAAAATTAATAACCTGGAGAAGTTTAATATACAAAATGCATAGAGAAATAAACAACATCTGATAAATTGATTTAATTACAGACATGCATCTTAGCTTTAAGCCAATAAATGATAATACGACAAAAGGCCCAGTCCTATAGAGACTTTAAGCAACAATGCTTATTGCTACGTGGAACTGTTATGATGACACTTCAAGTGTGGGAGCAGAAGTTTGAAGGCAAGGTCCTCAAGTGAGGAACCCAGATACTAACACCTAAATACTGCTGGTGGTATACTGTTGGAATATATCTGATAAACCAATTAGATATCCTTAAAGAACACTTAGTTTTAGTTCTAGCTTCACTGTGCCACCACAGAGTACTCCTAAAGCATTACACAAAACTTCTGACAAATTTTGCCTCCTGAAGTTTACTGAAAACAAGGCATTGCTGAAGTAGTCATTTGTGACTAGAAGCAAGAAACAGACTCAGATCCATAGCATCGCACAGTGCTACTCACATTTTACCTACACATTAAGAATAGCGCTTTGCAAATTTCAGAACCAGTCTTGATCAGTCTGGGCATCTTGCCTTTGGTGAAGCCAAGGCTGCCAAGTCATTGCAAGACTGGGCCTCAGTCCCATGCAGTTAAACTAAAATAGCTACAGGAACTAAAAGAAAATATAACTTGTGTGCTATAGCTGTGCAGTACCACAGTAACTTTCAAACACTTCAGCTTTTATTTCATAAATGTGCAACATGGCTCTAGCCCATGGGCATTTATGACTGATGCATCTGCATGAAGCTTCTCATGAATGTTACAAGCTTCTGAACATCTTCCACAGTCACCGCGTTATATAAAGAAGCACGGATTCCTCCCACAGATCTGAATTGAAAAGAGGAGGGGAAAAAAAATAGAAAGGTGTTGTAAATGCTAAGACAGACATTAATAACATTCACAGACATTTAAACTTACTCCTACTCCAAAGGGACAGAAATCACATTTTGTACAAATGAGAAGCAACATTTAATTCTTCAAGGGAAGCCTGCAATCTAGAGAAACTCAACATTTATTAGTTATTTACAGCTCCAAGGCTGTAGGCCTGTGACATCAAAAAGCTATCATTTTCAATCCCATAAACACCACTGAACATGGGAAGAAACTCTTGCAACTATGTAGACAAGCCATGTAATGAAAGGCTTTACACAATGACAGAATCTCAGACCTCAAGAGTCACCTTCTTTGGCATTCACACAGAGCCAGGTTTATCAAATCAGAGAACACAGAATTAAGGACAAAGCTCTCAGAACAACCACACCGAAGCAGCAGTTGAGCTAGCAGCAGTCTCTGATTACCATCTCTAGATTGCTATTCCCAAGTGAAGCCAAACCAATACAAGCAACAGCTTGAGAGTGAGGAAGGCTGGTAAGTCGATGCACAAATGCCCACCGCTGTATCATTTAGTAACAGTTTACTCCGCACAAGAAAGATTCATCTGATTCTACTACTTACCGATGCCCTTTCAGAGATATCATGTTAAGTTCCACAGCTTTCTCGAGAAATTTCTTTTCCAGTGCTTCATCACCCTTGATACTGCCAATATGGAAAGGGACATTCATTCTGCTTCGGTTCTTTTTCTCCACTGGACATCTAGAAAAGTTGCAGAGTGTAAGGATTAACATTTTCATTAATTTACATTTTCAGCTATATACAATTTCAGAAAGTATTTGCATCTGTTTGGCACCAAAGTCATTCCTCCATAATTGAAATAATCATGTTTTTCTGTGAAAAAAGCAACTGTCCTTTTTTAATGAAGTATAATAACGGAAACAGTAAGTGGAATGCTTATTAACCCTTCCTGACATACTCAAAATAGCCCCAGAGGAACGCACAGGAGGCTTGTAAACAGAACTAATTTAGAAAACATAATAAAACCCACCACCCCACCCACAACATTCTCTGTTACATCTCCCAGGGTAAGCGAGATTAGTTACAGTGAATTTTGACTAAGTCTCAAGCAGTTTCTTCTCTATCTTGAAAGACCGACGCACTTATGCTTACTCAGCTCGTCACAAATGCTACCAGAATTGAGACTGACTCAGCTAAACAGAGCTAAAGAAGTATAAGAACATAGCATAAGCAAATTCCCATGGACATTAGAGATTTCTGTTACTGTTTCAGTCCACCTTCTACATTAGTATTATTCGAATGATGAACAGCTCAAGTAGAGAAGCGATCTCCAGAAACAATCTTGCATGGCATACACATCCACAACACATATGAAGTGCATCACAGCCTTAATCTCTTACAATTCCCTTTAATCTAAAGTAGAAAATTAAAGATACATTTAAAGCAAAATTTATCTTCAATTATTTTGTGAAGTTAAGAAAAGCGGGGGATAATTTTTTTCTTTAGTGCTTCTAGTTACAAAGCAGACACGAAGTCTCCAGATTTATTCTTTCCTAAGGCTGTGATGTAGATTCTTGCAGGGATTCACTAGGAATAAGTTCTCATAAACTGCATGTAAATTTCATACCTATTACTATTGTATCCAACAAAGCATGGGTATCATTTTTCTTTAGTTCCTCCCTTATTCCTTTATACAGATGTCTCCATCATGAAGAGAAAAAAGATCAATCGTAATATCTGCCCATGCAAATTTTCTGCTTCAGATGTAACCAGGAAAACACTCTTCAAAAAGACATGTGCTTCTAAGCATCCCCATATTTGAATAACTGTAACTAGGCTATAGTTTTTAGAAGATCCAGTTGCTATTAGGCAATACGATGTAACTCAGTGCACAGACTTTGCAATGCAAACTGCAAATGGCACACAGCACCATTCCCTAAGTGGCTGTCACACTGCTCAGCCAGCGAAGCATGCCACAGATTAGCTGGCACATAGAAGCTGGGAAGGCAGCTTCAGACAAGTTTTCCTTTTAGTCAGAGACAATAAAAAAGTCCATAGTCTTAACTGTATTGCTTAGTAAGATGCATACAGCTCAGTTAGTGAAGCTTGTTTTGCCTTCCCAATTGACTATTTACCATCCCATCTGCATTGCATTTCCCACTCAGCCTTACAAACCAGCTCACCAGCAACAGATTCATTTGTCACAAAATGTTTTTTTCAAGGCTTCATTTGCTTACTAAGGTTATAAAAAACCCTGAGGATTGCAGTAGAGTAGGATCACAATCCTGATCATGACAATGCTAAAGGCAAAGCTGTTCTCATTAACTAAATGGATAAGCAGAAGGTATTAAATATTATGATGAAACTACAACCCTGGCAATTGAGCTTGCAGCCAGCTTTAATTTAAAATCCAAATTTACTTTGCCCCATCCTAACTTTGACTTGAAAGTTAATTAGGTCCCAAAACTGTGGATTTTATCCTAAAGGTGAAGGAAAATATTTTGCAGTTTCATAATCACTTACTAGTTTTTGAGCTTGGCAAGTATTAAAGTTATTCCAAATTACAGCATCAGCTTTTAACTACATATATTTTGGGTCCTGTGAACTCAAAAACACCTTGCAACGTTATGTAGAAAATAGGGTTAAATCTGCTTTGGAAAACCATCAAAAATAAGTGAAGAAAACAAACTGCACATAAAGAAAATGTATTACATTTTTACTACATCTAGGTAGGTTTGACCTTCCTCTTTCTGTTTCAGAACTCTGCACGTTTAGCTAATAAAACTACTCTGCTTCAGAGAAAAAGCAGAGTCTTTGACAACTGAAGGAGATGGTAGGAAGAATATAGTGCAAAAGTGGTCTCTAGAACTTCTTAGAAGCCATTTTCTCTGTTCTGGCCTGTACTTCCCCAAGAGATTTAGTACGCACACAGAATGTGCATATCTGGTTTTTTTTGTACATTCTTCTCCTAGGCTCCTGAATTTTATTAGGTTTAGAACATATGTTATTAATATGTTTCACACTTGAGCTATACAGGATAATTTGAAATAACTTCCTACTGCAGAGACTCATCCTTGGATAGTTATCAAGTGAATGATTTGCTCAAATAATTCCTGTAGGATTCCAGGATACCTCAAAATTTCTATATACTGAAAAGGTAACTTTAAAAATAGGTTGCAATCAGACTCTGAAGTTATGAATATGTTTGGGTCCGCAATAAATATTGAAACCAAGAGCGAAAGGATAGCAACTTACACATAGAATCCATTAGATTTGTCTACAATATCATAAATCATTCGCGATTTGATTAAGCTAAGTTTATCCATAGCTGCAGCTCCGCCATTATTCTTTATCCATTCCAGTACCAATCCCATGATATAAATACTGCAAGAGGAAAGAAAATTATTCATTCAGATTATTCAAAACCATTTTTTTTAGATTATTAAAAAAAAAAGAAAAAAAGCAGTGCTGTTTAACAGTTCACAACATGCTTCAGCAACACAGTGTTATGTTTGGCTTTAGGGTGCTTAAGATTAACAACTCTGAATCTGGACTATTTAACAAATTATGACAACTCTAAGCAGGCAATGTTTTTTGGACACAAAGTACCCCAAAATTTAAATGCTACACAAATCTGTTGGACCAAACTTAATCCTTTGTACCACAGAAGGACAAGTCCTGCAGGTTTCCTGCAACCCTGCAGAGCTCCCAAGGACATCCCCAGACATGCTGCACGGACAGCCAGTTCATTGACCACCAACTGCCTGTTGAGTCCTAGAAAGAACCAGAGTTAGCAGAAAAGTCAGCAGCATCCACCCTGTGCAGCTGCTCTAGCAAAGATGCAGCAGTGAATTCAAACGTATGCACATTAATAATGCCAGAAATCTAATCCCATTTTCACAAATGTTAAATGAAAACTATAATCCCATCTCTGCCTAAAAAGACCTTTTTCCCACATGACAAGTGAAGTTTCACAAAACAAATAACGATGTATTACACCTAATCATTCATTACCATTCAAGTTGTAAATCGAGATCTGGAAGCCTACTGGCACTGCATGGCTTGGGACCAAGTATTTCAATGCTGGTTACTAAGTGCAACATAAAAAAATCCCCCAGGCCTTTTGCCTTTGTGTTTTTGCTACAAAACTCCGCTTGTTCAAGTTCAGGCATTTCCCACGACTACACCACTTTACATAATAAACTGTTCACAAGTTTTTATGGCATATTTCCAACACGTTTGCTTTTATTAATCCCTTCATTACAGATTCCAAAGGAGTGCTCAGAGAACATTACCCTACGAGTTTCCCTAACACAAATCTAGCAGAAGGCTCTTTTAAACTTTGCTGCTTCTAATTTCTCAGGAGATGCCAGCATCAAATCTTTGAACACTGCAGAAAGACTGCAAAATAACCAAGGTTACAGACTACCTTTTATACAAAGCACTTTACAGCTTCCAGAGCACTGTCTTGCCACATTTATGACAGCAGACTGTCAACTACCCCAGTGTAAAGGCTTTAAATGAAGTATAGCCTAGGCCCTTGCCAAATATATGGGGCCACATTCACCTCCTGCCCTCACTTCCTTGAGTGAAACTTCTTGGACAAGTAAGGTTTAAAAAAAGTCAGCCTTAGAGTCATCCACAAAATCCAGCCAGCTGAAATCTTTCTTTCATCCTTCCTTCGTGTTAGTCAAAATAATGTTTCTGGAGCCATTTTAAATGCAAAACAAACCCTTGGAGCCTGGAAATGAGATTTTTATAGAAAATTCATTGTTAATTTCAGCAAAGCAGATCAGGGTCAAAAAGTCAAGCTCCCTGCCTGTTTGCCATCAAAGCATTAGAGAGTGCAAGGAAAAGAGTATAGAAAAAGAGAACTAAGAAGCTTTGCCAGTTCTTTGCAAAAACTGGAACACGTATTTAGAGCCAAGCCAAACAGATGTGCACCCTATCAACATTTCAGTCTGTGTTACACCCTGGATTCTGTAGTGTACACCCATGTGGGTCTGTAGCATGGAGTGAAATCTGGCAACACACTGATCAGAAAGGAGAAAGACTGTTAGCTCAATTTTATTTTCTGCTTCCTTAATCTCCCACTACCCTGTTCATGTTACTGACAGATACTGAGTTACAGCTAAAGCAGCACTTATTTCAGAAGTTCTTTGCAGTGGCTAAAACAAAGCTGCAGAATTTAATTTGTTTTGCTTTTCAAGCAAGAGGACCAACACGGCTTTCAATGATAAAATTAAGTAAAACTTTGGGTTTTCAAATGGAAATAGCTTTGTACTTGGAAAACATGAATGGCTGGATTTAAAACCTGGCTTGTGCGAGTACACAGCGTCCAGAACAGTATGTGTGACTTGGCAGTCAGGAATATAATCAGTCATGAAATAAAGGCTTTATCAGTCACTGGGAAAAGAGACACACATACTGCCCATGTTACAAAGCTACATTCAGAAAGAAGATTAAAGTCTGGAAACATTGTAAGGTTAACTCTCGTCTTAAACACCAGCCCTAAGGATAGTGGGTGTACTCAGCCACTAGGCTGATGCAAGAACACATCACTACAGCACTACATACTTTACAGTATGCATACTCCTTGGGAAAAATATTTGTGCATTGTAAAGTCTGGAATAAACATATGCTCACAAGATCTACTGTTCTTCTCAAATTAAGATAACTGCCTCTCTGTAATTGTCAGAATCAGCAGATTCAGAGCTACACTTAGTATCACTTAAAATTCTACTGAATTTAAGTGATGGCATTAAGGTAGGCTTTATACACAGGAATCACTGTACTTTATGCCTATACAGTACCTTTGATATCTGTCGGACGTCATTAGGCAACTTAAGCTTGCAAATTCTGGCACGTATGAAAAAGCTTTAAAAGCTGAGATTGAAAATAACAATTTCTACTTTTAAAGATATTTCCTTTTGATCCTGGTAACTTGATAATACAAACTTGCATTGGTGTTGAAAGTACCTAAAAAAACTTCGGGGAAAAAAGGATATCTGGTTTGAAGATTTTTTTTAAATAATCATTTTAGTGGACATTGGTATAAAATTGTTCCAGACTAAGAATAGATACTGCTGGCTCAACACCTAAATATTCCAGTAGCAAAGAATCATTTCACTAGCTATCAAAAGCTGTTCTGCTTCTTGTACACATGAAACGACCAGGTACATACCAATTTTACAATCTTGATTGCTAGCAATGATTATGAAGCTTGACCAATATTATTTTTGGATGTCAAGTCAAACACTGAAGTGGCACAAAGAAATACGGGAAGTTGCACTAGAGAACAAAGCACAACAATGACTAAGGTCTCTTTTTTCAAAAAAAAAAATAAAAGTCTTCTTTTACAGGGATAGGGATCTGAAAGCTCAAATACTGAGAACAACCTCAGGAAGAAATTAAATCAAATCTGTAGCTAGTGTTCAAGAAGCAAGACTAAGTGCCAAATTACCTACTTGCAATGACAGAAGCATCGCCACTGAATTGACCAGAGTTATGTTGATGTAAGAACTGAAGAGACGGATCTTGAAACTTTTGCAACAGAATTATGACATACAATACTTACGTCTGATAATACTGTCCTTTATGGCTGAGTACCACTAGATAACATCAAAGCCTACCACAGCCATGTGGCTGGACACTTCCTGTGTTCCCACAGGCGTTGTGTGAAACACTCCAACATATCACTGATTGGAAGGCAAATACTCAATTTCTGAAACTTTTCTCAGTAAGAGCAGCAGATGGCAGTGCAGTAGCTTTCTGAATAAGAGATATTAAAATAGCAGGGTAAGTTACCTGTAGCATGGTGGAGTGTTATACAAAGAGCCATTCATTGCTTGTGTTTTGTAATCCAGTACTACAGGGCATTCTTTCAGCGCAAATCCAAGCAAGTCCTCACGTACTATTACAACAGTAACTCCAGCACAGCCAACATTCTTCTGAGCACCAGCAAAAATCACACCAAACTTGAAACAGAAGAAAAGAAGGACTTGCTACATGCATCCACTAGTAGATCTTATAACCGAGTAATACACCAGTATCATTATACAACAGTCACACAGCTCAGCTGTGTATGTCTTATCTGAACCACGTATCTTCATTCAGCTGAGGAAGATCACCACAAGAATTTTCCCAATGATTTTCTAAATATTTACTAGCTACAAATAATTCTCAAGACAGTCTATCCCCATTTCACATTACTCCAAGCAAATTTGCTAAAAAAAATCATATATAGATCACAGCATTGTCAACCAATCTGGTATTTCAGAATAGGCATCATATAATCTACCTGTTTAAAGAGGCAGATGAGGAAAGGCCAGGATGAATGCACTAACAATTGCCCCTTCTTTTTGCAACACACAGATAAGAAAGGTGAAACATGCTAATTCACTAGTCAGTAGCACTTCCCACTAACACACTTTACAAACATAAGCAATACAGAGGCACAACACAGCACTCACCTATGAAATAGACACAGTACTTTGTTCTGCCTCTGTGCTATCTGTGAAACAGACACAGTAATTGTGAGGCACAGAAAGCTTTAGCAGCTTAAAAGGGGTTACAGACTTTCCATATAAGAGGCAGGATCAAAAATTCTGATTCACAGTACCCTGCTATAGCCATGTACACTATCTACAGGCTACATACAATTCAGAAAATATCTTCTTCAGCTACAGCATCAGGGAAGACCACACAGTAGACAGATAATCTTAGACAGCTATTGACATCAACAATTTCAACATAGTTCAGTATGTTTTTACTTCAAAAAAGGGCAACAGATACACATTGAAATCTTTAAATTTCAACACTTATAACCACCTTCAGACACCCCATTAACAAAACAAAGTTCCCTTAATTTCGCTGCTCAGCATCTCTGGCCATCCAGACATTTCAAAGTCCCTAACTATATGCACTCAAGTTTGAAAATGCTTTGTGCAGCCACTGTGTCCAATACTCTACCTTGGAAACATCCACAGGTCTGGACAGGAAATTTGATGACATATCACAAACCAAGACTGCTCCTTTGACATCAGGAACAAAGTCAAATTCCACACCATGAACAGTCTCGTTAGCACAGTAATAGACATAAGATGCATCTGGATTAAGATTCCAAGTGCTTGGGTCGGGAATGTCTGACACAGACAAAAGAGAAAAACAAAGGTCACTGAAGACAAGTAATTTTCCTGGCATTCAGTTTTACTTGAACACGTGACTTCAGTGCAAACCCAGAACGATTCTGCAGTACAAAGTATTAATTACCTTGTTACCAGCAAGATATAATTTATCTGCAAATGAAATACATCAGTGCATTCCCAGAATTCTGTGGTGAGCCATCATTCAGCTGGCAAACACCCTTCTGGTTTTCAGCCCTTATTCCTCAAGGGATTTTCATCAGGTTTACAAACCCAGGCTGCAAATTACTGCCCTACGGGTCCAAAACAGCATTTCAGAGGAATTCAGGCACTGGGTCCAAGAATCCTCCTGACACGTTTGGAAACACTGAAGCCTCCAAATTCTCAATGGCAAAGTACTCTACGCTATATTTCTGTGCATCCCCAGAAGCATTTCAGTCTTGTCCAAGCTGAACACAAGGTTACCTACCCACCTCCTGCTTATGCTTTGCAACTGACTTACAAAACTATTATTTCCTCTGCCAACGGCCAATATTTAAGGCATGCCCTGACAGCACAGAACAGGTTTTGCACAAAACAAACAGTTGCTCTTCCTTTCTTCCCCCTCATGTTTTGCAGGAGAGAAGAAGTGCTGCTGTTGCCTCCACCATTATTATTTACTGCCTCTCCCCTTATCTAGTTGCCAGATGGTGAACACATTATGCTAGACTGGGAAGTTGTAGGTTCAATTCCTTGCTATGCCTCAGAGGATATAAACCCATCTTCCAAGTTAGTGCCCCAACCACCAGTTAATACACTAATTTCTATGGCAATATTCTTTGACTTGCCTGTTGCCACTGTTCCCAGCTCAAATGCTATAATTTGGTTTACAGGTAAGAAAAGCAAGCATGACAAAATTTTCTTCCTCCTACGCTGTGGTCATTCAGATTATGTCACATCCAGTAACAAGCTTCAAGAGAAGCAGCTGAAAACACCTCTTCTATTCCAGAGCCAACTGCCTGTTCTGACACACACATAGCAAAGATAAGTATTTGGGAACAGTCTCCCATCTCCTAGGCCAACAAGGTTAAGATCCCTGCCATGTTTCTAAATCTCAGAGCAATCTCATCTCACTACTGAGTGAAACTGAAATACCTTGCAACAACTCTGCAAATAGCTAAAAAATTCCATTAAATAATAATAAAAAAAAAAACCAGACAGCGCAGACCATTTCCCTACCAATACACACTTGCTTCTTGCCATTTATTTTCTGGGATCTCCTCAGACTCAGTGTCATGACTTCTTTCTGGTGGAGACTGTTAAGTCATATAACAGATGTCCCAGTGATGAACATGGAGAGATGTAGCAGGCAATCTTGTGAGTGCCAGGCAGTCAACTCTAACTAGTTAACATCCAATCACCCAACAGCTGAGTTGGACCAAGTTTTAGAGTGATTCAAGCAGCTAAGCATTCACACAGATGGATGTAATCATCAACTTACTTGTATAGGCTCCTAGTTTTGGATGAACGATATTCACTTTGGCATACTTCTCTGCTTCTTTAGCTGCTTTTGCTGACCAAGCTCCAGTAACCACATAATCTGCATGTCTTCCCTCCTTTAAGCCGATAAGATTAAGTGGGACTGCACTGAACTGACCAGATCCACCTCCTTGGAGGAAAATAACTTTGTAGTTTTCTGGTATATTTCTGCATGCAAGAAATAACCATTCATATTATTCCCAGAAGACACAGGATGCATACTACTTGATGTTATGTATTTAACAGCAACTGAGGAAGAACACTGTCATTTTAGATGATTCTTTGCCAAGAGTTAGATCAAATCCCATTAACTTACCTCAGCACTTGCCTTGAGAAACAATTAAAATCTTAAGAGTAATGCTACACATTTTGCTGATAAATTGCTGAAAACAAGCTTGGGCAGGATTAAACAAATTCACTCCTGAGTAGCTCTACTATTATAGTACACAAATATGAAAGTATGCCAGCAGAATTAATGTCCACTTGTAACCTTGTCTTCACGGCTTTTCTGTCAGGCTAAGAACTTCACACCAAAGTGCTCACAGTAGAATTCAGCTTTGAGACCCTTCAATTTGCAAGTCCAACCCTACAGTAGATTGTACTTGAAGAGCAAGTGCCATAAGGAATTGTTTATACAGTCACAAAAATTACTTGTTCAAATCATTCATTAAAATGCCTCTGTCAATAATTGTGGCTGTGGCTGAGAGTCAAGCTTTTATACGAAATGAGTATCATTATTAAGAACCATGAGAATATTAATTCTAATATACAACATATTTATTTCAAATTTTTAAAAATGTCACACTACATATAGCAAAAGGGCTCCTGATCAGTGATTTTGAAACACATTCCCAGAGCTTGTTAGTAAAATCAGACTGATGAGTAAAGTACAGATCACCTCTGTACCACTAGAGAACTGATTTCTATTGTTTCCACTTGCTTCTTGAAGAAAGTGCTGCCCTTCATAAGTTCTACAAAGGTGACAAAAATGAAAATTTCAGAAGAAAGTCAAATAGTCAGTGTACAGTAGACAAATAAAAAGCATCTTAACCTAATGAAAGCCCTTTGTCACACAAATAAATCAGCATCAGACAAACAGAAGACCTATGTCCTCTCCAAGATTATTACTCTATTAGACACAGTATCTGAACAAAAAAACACGACAAACAGGTGCTTTCAAGGAAAGGTCTCCACATCAGTCACTATTCATGCAACCAGCACAAGCTTAGAACAAAAATAAGTAGGAAGCAATTCACTTACAGCAATTCACGCATGAGATTTTCAGCTGTGTTTAAAATTTTTGCAAAATCTGAGGTCCGATGGCTCATTTCTTTGGTGAAAAGGAAAGAAGAAATAACATGAAAAAAAAAATGGTAATACATGAATGTAATTTAAAAATTGTGTTAAGCTTTAAGCCTTTTACGCTACAGACTCAAAGTGCCTGAAGGCTCCCATTCCCAGTTCCAACTCCTACTATTCTTTTTTGCTGAGCGTTCCTAAATACCCACACAAGACTTATACCTCCAGTCTTGTCCCAATCCAGGGAAATCCAGTCCATTCACATTTGGCATCTACTTGACCTTACTATCCCCAGGAACAACTACATCTGCATGAAAAAGATACTCCCTGGAAAGGTGCAAGTTTTCCTTACTCCAAGAATGCTCTCTGCTACTAATGCCGTTGCAAATATAGAGTAAGGTACAGAGGTTTGTTTTGTTCTATTTTTTTGACAAGGCTTCTTCACGCACTAATCCTCATTAAATGTTAAGGACACTTAATACTAATTCCTTTTATTAAATCCATATTCTTTCTCCCATCTGTAAGAGGGTACAATTTAAACACAAATCCCAATCCTGCAGAGGCTGCTGCACATTCTACTTTTAGCAACCGAAGTTTCACAGAACTAGTAAAACACTGACCACCTTTTTGCATAAGATTTTTGTGCAACTGAAAAGACAGTCAGCTACCCATACAGCACAGAAGACATCTCCTCCTTACGACAGGACAGCACTGCCTTCCTCACAGGAAAGATCAAGTACATCCAAAGTGTTTTACCATCTAGTATATAAGACATATGGTATCGATATACATATACTCACATACAGTGTATCTGTGTATATACCTATACAGTATTTTATAGATATATAACCCCCTTTTTTTAGATATTACCTACATGTATACACACACATTCCTGTCCAAAGATCCAAAATTACTAATGTTTCACATATGATTAGTTATCTTTTTCTTGCCTCTAGTCCTTTGTTTTGGATCACTAAACCTCTGGCTATGTATCATTTTATGGTGTCCCAATGAATGGTAGAAAAGCTGGAGAGTCTCTGGACACACATGTTATCAGAATAAGATATTAGAAAAGGTGCTGAAATACCAAGATGAAAAACTCTTATTAAACAATTTGGTTAACCATCTACATTCTGAAAAATACAGAATTTTTAAAGTCTTACCAAGAACACTTATACCGAGTCCTTTGTAGTCCACCAATTCTTTCTGTGCTTCTAATAATACCTAACAAAAGAAAAAATCCACACATGAATTAAGGGAATTTTCCACTACCTGAAATCTCCGATACGTCCTGCAAATGCCAGCTGCTCCATATTGCAATACCTGACACTTGTCAAGTGAGAATAACAGAAGTATAGTCACCAATATAATTTCATCGTGTCTAGTATCTGCAGGCTTTTCATAAGATAGCATTAAATCATACACTTGTTGTGAAGACCATGTATTAAGTTATTCTTTCAACAGCTGCATTTCCAGATTTCAGAGTGATTTCTAGGAGTTGGATGGAACTCCCAGCCTTTTACAGAACACTTAAATGTTTGCATGTGTACTCTCTGATCAAGCATCTTAGAACCCCCGCCTCACCCCTCCACCCTGTGTTCTTTCGTTTGACTTATGCAAACAGGACAACCAAGGTATTGAGGAAAATATAAAGAAAAAAAAATCAGCTTGGGGAACTGGATACCTCAGACTGACCCAACAGGACAAGGCCTGGCTTCACAGAATGCAGTCCCACACACTTTGAAGACAAGCCTTCGCTATGTTATCAAAAGTTAAGAAAGAAATGAAGCAAAGTTTTCAGACAAACAAAAACCACAGGTCACTCCCAAGAGCCCTAGCTAGGTAATCTGCTGCTTCAGCCTTCCATTTTTCTTTATTCTCCCACAGTTCTTACATACGAACAAAGTGGAATTAGATTCTAACCATTTGATCTGCAGCTTTCCAATTTCAGTAAATTTTTGTGCAAGAGTCAGAACATTTTTAGTTTTCTTACATTTTTTTACATTTCCCAGTAGAAAAGCCACCAAAACAAACGCTGTATGCATGTGCTCCAGGGTCTACCTTGCTGACAGGGTACCTGGATGGCCTGTCAACTCTAACAGCTGATCACCAAGAAGTCAACCAGAAACTGTGCTGCTTTTCATGCTAGAGATTATGAAATTCTAACCACTGTTTCGTGTGCAAACACATTCATCCCAGAGAAGGGGGGGGGTGTCAAATAGAACACACAGACTATTAGAAAGTGCTTGTCCAACTGCTTGATAAAATCAAATTCTGTTAGTAACATCCTTTATCTGCACACGCCTTACAATAGACACATATGATATTCCTTATAACGACCATGAAGAGCTCTGTCCACCCTTCGGCTTCAGTGAGTCCGAGTGCTTCACAGGCAGCATCAGCCCACAACCAAAGTGAAACAACTGAGGTGATACAGTAGCCCATTTAAGAGGACTGCATTTTCAAGCGGGGAAAACAGATCAATAACACGGAGTTCAGCTAGGCTGTCCTCAAACCCTAAGCCTCAATTCTCAGTACTCTCTGTTGGAGAGTTGGATACCGCAGCAGCTCTCACACGAGCCCCTTTCGGAGCCACAGATTCAAGACAGAACAAATTTATTTGCACATAATCTATAAAGGACTTTTCTACAAGAAGAGAGGTTGGGAAAAGAAAAAGCTGTTGTAAGGCAAACTTATTTATCTAAGGGAAACCGTTAAAGAAATAACACATTAAATAATGAAGAAAGCTATGAATGAAACTAAGAAAAGAACAAAAAAAATCCACAACACATCAGTCTTAAGTTGAAAGTCAGATGGGCACAATTTGGCAGACACCACTCCCTCTCCATATGTAACTGGACAAACGATGGCTGCTGATGCAACTTTCCAGAGGGTTGAGCCTACGCCACACTCATTATCACCTTTTAAATCACGACTTCGCCGGGAACCACCGCGTTATTTAGCAGCTGACAGACACCACACTCGGCACAGCTGCCCTCGCCCCCGGAGGGCTCACGGCTCACCCTGAAACCGACACGGCCCCTGATGAGCGACCACAGGACCGTACTGAGAGGAGAAAACCTGGGAGAGCAACCCCCAAACCCCCTTAGGGTGCGTTCCCAAAAACCCTGGATTTACCGGGGCGCTTCACAGGGTGGGGAAGGGCAGAACAAACGCGTTCTGGTCGCTCCGTGGGTAACTCTCCTTTTTTTGCCGCTTACCGGAGCTCCCCCGGCCCTCGCTCTGCA